GAGACGTAGTTTTAGCTAATTCGCGAGAAGACGTATATCTCTCTCTCTCTCTCCATCTCGCTTTGCCTTCGTCTCTGTCTATCTGTCGAAATCGTCTCCACTTTGCTTCCGGAGCGGTTCCGCGTAACGGCGGCCACCCGGACGGTCAGCGTGGACCCTACTGCGCGTAAATCACGGCACTGCCGCAGATCCAATTATCAAATTGTCCGGCACTTCAGCCTAGAGAGACTCCGCTCCGCTTCGACCATGCTGGTGGAAGCGACGCCGAGGCAACGTTTACGCCGAAGAACGCGAGTGAGACAACTGGAAGGCCGAGTCCGCTAACTAAGGGAGCGATAGATTCTACAGAGCAAAACCACGAAAGACGGGACGACGACGTTAGCGGCCAAGATTTATCGCTTAAGTGACTCTATCGAGGCGAAACTCGTGCAGGGAGAGAGAGAAAGGGAGAGAGGGGCGGGGCGACTTTCTTCATTGTAGAGATCAATCATTTAATAAGATCGAGAACTTTATGCAGATTTATCCCTGTTTATGCATCTATTTTACCACGTTAAATATTAACGAGTCTTCAACATGAGCGAATATATTGATCTCCATCTCGATATATCACTCTAGATTGGTCAAAACAAAAGAGCCATCGGGTAATTTAGATAGTTTTAAGTAATTATTTCGGTACCGCGCGAGACAGATAACGGAAATTGCTTATTGAGCGTATCCTTCTATCTTTCACTGAGATTAACTTTTCACAGTCGAATGTCTCCTAATCACATTTTTTACTTACAATTTTAGCAAACTATAATTTGTTATCGCACGGAAAAATGTAAAACCAAATAAATATTTATCGAGTGATGTTTATAAATATTTTGTTTTTAGTTGAAACTTTTAATTTGACAGCTTTAGATTAACAAAAAGGTTGTCTAGGTTGTATTCGAATTGATGAATTGATGTAATCGCGTAACAATTACATTGCGTCCAATAAACTCTGTTACATCTTGCAACATACAAGCAACTCTGGTAAATTATCGATTTTATAGTAGAATATTCGAGAATGCTCGATTGTAACGCTTTGAAATAATATATTAAAAACATAACTTTTATATCTTTTTCCACAGGTTATAGAGTTTATTATTACATTTAATAACTAAAACTCTGATCAATGGTTAATGAGCAATTAGCGATGAATTCAGATAATTTGGAGATTTATTGCCATGTCGGCAAAAATAACTAACCACGTGGTGTAAAATGCGATTCATTTTTGTATAGTGTGTCCCCCCACATTTTTGTACTATAATAATGTAAAATAATATTGTAATATTATTAATTACACTTACAATTCGTAATTCGTTCTTGTTGATTTCGACAATTAACATTTTCGGCTAATAAACGTGGCCGATAGCTGTTGTTTTTATCTGGGACATTTACGGTAATTTCATAACGAGCTTAATGGTTTCTTAGGGGTTGAGCCGTCGCGTGTAACGGAAAGGAGTGGTTAGCTCGGAAGTGTAAGTCGGAAGTGCGTGTAGATGTTGCGCTGTGTTAAGGAAAGGGATACAAATGTACACACTCTCTGCACGCGAGACTAATTCAGATATCAGCCTGAAAGCGAAGGTAATTCATTCACCACGTCTAAAACACGACAATTCTATTATGATCGTTCTATTATGAGAATTGATATAGAAGTCATAACGGAAATATGCTCATCTAATAGCGCGCGCCTCTCGATTTTTGGGAGAGATAGAAATTAATTCAATTAGATGTCAAATCTAATCAAGAAGCAATATCCGATATGTTCTTTCACAGTGTGCGATTGAAGGAAGGCCCGTTTGAAAATAGGGTAATTAT